TTGGTAGCACGTCAAGGGCAGGATTAGTATTAAGGCTAGAATTTTGGTGCTGTGGTGATGAGATGCTCACTTGCAACTGGTACTATTCAGGTAGGTAGTTGCCTGGGTTCTGGTGAGAAGTTGTGATGAGTAAATTGCAGCAAGATGGGCATGAGGATAACTACTCGCCGATGACATTGGCTAGTGGTCGTGCCATGGCGTGAATTGGCAGAAGCTGGAATTTATGAACTGGCCATTGGATTGGGTCTCAGTGGCTTCATGGTCCTGGGTTCGAGCCCTCGAGGGGTGTGCATGCTGCTGAAGAACTCCAAATTAGGAAAAGACAGCTGTGCAGTGCTGCCAGGTGGTTTTGAAATGGTTCCCTAACCGGCGGCTTTTCACGATGAAATATTGTAACCAGTCAATCGAATCCCAACAAATCAATACTTGAATGATTAGATTTAGTTCAGGGTTAAGGTAAGGATTAGGGTGAGGGTGTTTTTTAATATAATCTATATTTTTCTTATAAATAAATAAACAGGAGGAGAGTGTTTTGTTCATATAGATGAAGCTAGCCTTTTGATAGGTATGAAACTCGAAAACTGATACCCTTCATTGTAACTGGAAAGTAGTTTTCAGTTACATCAGGGCAATATATCATCTTTAATGTGCTTCGTTACTATTGTGTTAATTTTTCTCATGAATACACTGCTTTTTGATGAAGATTACCCCACGGTAGTTTCAGTAATCCAGCAAACGGCAGGCATTCGAGATTATTGGTATGTTTGCATTCTGTTGTCACTATTCATTATGTTTGCGGGTATTAGTTTAAATGTCTGAAACTTTCCCTCCACAAATTAGTGTAAATCATAATAAGAAAATCATGTGGAGCGAGATGTCTAAGTCGTTCGATGCATGTTTCATCTAAAAGAGTCAAAAAACATTTTCCCGCTTGGCCAGGATGAAGCAACAGTGGATCAATAATGAGTGCTATAATTGAACATATGTTCAACACTGGTCACTCTCTGTGCAAGGAGAATTTATTCAATATTATCTATATTGTCAACAGAAGCCTGTGGAAAATGGAGAGCTTTCGTATAATTTGCAATGCCGAGGCGTTGGAGATTCAGATAGAAAACCCTGATTTATATATGCAGGAGAAACTTCTCCATCCCCTCCTTCTACCATGGGTATAATTCCAAGTTCCACCACTTTGTTAATAAGGCTATTTTGATTGTTTGTATGACTTCTTGACAACATCTTCTTCTTAACCAACCCTTTATTTACTCTTTCTACCTATTACGTAATTTACTTTGGACACATATCTCCATGGACTTTCATTAAGATCCTATTTTTCTGGGTGTCTTTCATATTACACAACCCTTGTCAATACTTGCCAATCTTCACCCCTCTAGTTACAATTTGATTACTTACATATTGTTTGAAACATTTCGTTCTTATATTCACGTCTGGATTGGCATTTTCCATGAAATAAAAAGAAAACACAAATGAAACATTACTGAAGGTGACCCAAGTTACACCATGTGTGGGCGTGACTAGTTCAGTGACAGCTTCTCTCACCTGAAACCTGGATGACATAGGTTTAAATATCATTTCTTTTGAAGCTCCAGATTACATTAGGCACCATTAGTTCCGAGTGGAACAAACGCCTTCAAAAACATATCTCCGACTTTCCCTACTTTCTGATGTCGTCTCCAGCTGGCCAACTCCGCGATTGTCCATAATCTCTCATCTCCCCCTCGAACACGCACCATCCTCTCCATGTCACCCTCACAAAGATGATCCACTAGTCGCTTCCCATAGAGATTCTTTTCGAACGATTGCCTGGTGCGCGATGTCAGTCGATGGTCTCCTCAGTGTTTGCCCGATCCATCTCCATTTTGTCTTACATATCTGTTGAGCGATCGGCACTTGGTTGGTTTGTTGCATGCCAGGGTTTATTGTTACTGATTGTTTGTCGCCGGACAGCCATTTTATCTTCAGTATGGAGCGTACTGCATGTTTTTTTACAGTACCTGCTTAAAAACAACTGATTACCTGTAATATTGACGACACCATGGTGATAATTAATAGATTTCTGACTTATATTCCATTCAATGACTTTTAGAGATGATGTCCAGACTTTCCGACGCGATGAACATTAGGTCACTTAAATAAAAAAAGTGATTTATTTATTTATTAAAGGTTTTATATGAGTAGTGTAAGATTTGTAAACTTAAAATAGATAAAAGAATAATCAAATGTATCGCAAAAAGTAAACATGACCTGAGATTTGCAAAAGTGGTCTGATTAAATATAAGTAAATACGTGATTAATGATAACTAAGGTAAGGATTAATATGTAGTCAGTTCTTATAAGTTAAAATTTGATACTTTGGGGGACACTTTTATTGTTCAAAATAGGAAAAAAGGTGGAATATTTTATATTGTAATCATCTGTGCACAGAGTGATGTTTTCAATGTCTTTAATGAATACGTATTGAGTGGTGATACCTAGAAGCCTAAGTTAGACTGTCTTGTTCCTAAATATATTTACTAAACTCATCTATTTTACCAGGAATGGTTTTATAAATATACTGCATTCATGTAGTGGTTTGGAGAGATTTGACTGATTAGTTACAGGATATCATCATGACCTGCGATAGTTAAGAGAAATATTTCAAAGCCACTTGGGAGTACTGCACAGTTGTTTCGTCCTAGTTTAAGACTCTTCAATAGTACACACCCACCAAGGTTCGAGCTCAGGACCTTCTGGTCACGAAGTCCCACTATAACCCTAGGCAACTACCTACCTGAATAGGGCCAGTCGCTAATGAGAAGTCGTGACCAGCAGGATACAGCAAGTGGGGCGTGAGGAAAAATACTCAACGAAGACATTAGCTAGTGGTAGTGCTACATCGTGCGTGAATTTACAGAAGCTGGAATTCCTGGACTGACTGTTGGATTGAGTCTCAGTGGCTTATTGGTCTACGAGCCAGCTGTCCTTGTAACCTAAAGGTCCTGAGTTCGAACCTCGTTGGGTGTATGCTGTTGAAGAGTCTCAAAATAGGACGAAACAAATGTGCAGTACTCCGAAGTGGCTTTGAAATGGTTCTCTTACCGATGGCAGTTCATGATGAAATCCTGTAATCAAATATACTACATATTTTGTAGAATATAAATTAAAGCCGCGCCTCCATAAGTAGAAACATCTTGTTTCATTGCATGAAAAAAGACTTGAAATTTGTTACCAAAGGGCTGTTACGATCCGAACCGACTCGGTGTCGTCTGAACACAGGAATCCGATCTCAGAATGCCATTGTATCGTTGATAAAACTTCCGTGAGACACGCACAGTCATAAAATGCTTGAAACACAGTGAAAATATGATTATTCCTCAATAAATCGGTTTGTGGTTCTATTTGACGATAATAACATCAAAACTCACAATTATCTCAACACTTTCGCCACGTAGTTATGCAGTCAAGCAAATTTTCTAAATAGAAAACAAGTACTGCAGAATAAAATTAGTTAACCAAAATGCGATCATGGGAAGGGCCTGACAATCAAGTAGAGTATTTCTAACATGGTGGGATCTGAACTCTGTCCGCAAGGACCACACACCCGCAATTCCCACAGCAAGTTCAAGGTTGAAATGACCTTGACTCACCCGAACAAAGTAATATCGTAGAACATCGCATTATCGATATCATCAAACAACCGCAAAGAGGAGCATTGAAATCAGAGATTAAACAGTGACAAAGACAAATAATAAGAATCATGTCAGCATATGTTAATTTGACAACAATGATATACAGTCTAGGAGATAAATAGATAATGATTACAAAGTTAGTGGAAACATCCAGATAAGTGTAAATATTGTAACTGGATCATTCAGGTGGGATTATCCAAACAACGGGTATTATCATAAATCATTGTGAACGTAACACAAACGTCCTCGTGATTTCATATTTCTGATTACGGATTTTCCCTAGAGTTTCTGATGAAAAGAATATATGGAATTCTTTAAATTTCTTGACTTTAGGTTTCGGATGTAATTCTGCTGTAAATTTAAATTTTCAGCCACATAGGGAACTGCTTTAGTAGGTAATTTGATGCCTTGTAAGTCTACTGAAAGCTAAATAATCTAAACCTGTTTGGATAGCCACCAACACCCCCAAATGTCTTATTAAAATCAATTTTTATATGACTCCCATAAAGAAGACCACTGTGCTGGCTGACACACACAGACACGCACGGTATTCTCCATGTCACCGTCGACGCCCAGGCCCAACTTTTCGTTTTCTGTCAGGGTACCAATCGAGCAATGGCCTAACGCGTGACGTTATCTGACTATCTTCTCAGGGTGTGTCCGACCCGTCTACATTTTCTTCACTATATTTTCTGAGCTATAGCTTCTCAGTTGGTTCGTTTCCAGAGTTTCATGTGGATAATTCACAACGGCACGCTATCTCATCTTCATGATGGAGCTAGCAAAGATAGCTGTTGATGGAATTTTGCAGCTGGCTTTTGGAAATCTTTCTCGTCATGCGTAGTGCAAGTCTCCGACTCATATATTTGAACTGAGTGCAGAAGATTTTCAAACTAATTTCCGTGACATGAATGTCTGCACTGGTTTTCCGATTCAGGTCGGCTTTGACATTCTGGTCCATGAGGAATGCCAGTAGTTGAAATGGTTGTGCCTAGATAATTGAAGGGGGTGTCCTCTTTCACATTCCTTTCGTTGATACTGACTGGTGACTGTTGTTGTTGTTGTCGTCGGCTGGCAGGTTCATCACGAAGTGTGAATGGCGCGTTTATAATGTTAATGTGTACATCAACTTTTTACAGTGTGTCTACTGCTGAAATTGAAAAACAAGATATTTTATGTAGCGAATTAAAAATTCTCTTTCTAGCTTTATGTACTTGCAGAATTAATTCATTTATATAAAATTAGTAATTAAGCACTAAATTGTATGTTATTCCATTTTAATGTCTAATTTAATTCCCATTCACTTTTTAGTTGCTATACTGGAACTGAACGGTGTACATTCCATAACTTTACTTCTGTTCTCACAATTTATGGACAGTGTTATCGTATGAAACTTAAACGAACAGGTTAGTTCATTTATTATTATAACTGTCATTTGATTTCCTTAATTACATCGTGACACATGTCATTCAAGAAAAACACCGCCCATTTGAGAAGCTTTCAATTCTAGTCTTGTGTATAACATACATTTGAATTTTGGAGAGTTTATAAATTTCTTCTTATGTTACACAGTTGCGCATTTCTCTAGACTGTTAGAGACGTCAATTTAAGGTCATGCATGATCTCCCGGCTAACTGACAATTTACAAAACCTCTATGTCATGCATATGTATGCGTTGGTAATAAGTTGGATTCAGCGTGAAGCGAAAACAGTAACTGACTATTTTTGCTCCTCAAAAACTTGTGGAGCATCGAGTTTGTCTTTCGTTTACTCAAGAGAATCAAATTTTTAATCGGTGGTGTGTTTCACATTTTCTAGGTGCTCTGTAGTACAGTACAGCACATATAACCATACATTTAAATCAACACATCAAGCGCAGTGTTGGTAAATGGTAGACTGCTTTAGGAATAAAATATCGTTGTCATTACTGAGTAAACTGAGGTGACATAATTGATATAATTACTCAGAAGGGGCTTCAAAAGAAAAAGAGTACAATAATTACTGAATTCAATGAAGTACATTCGGCTATGAAATTCACATGCGAAGGGGAATTGCCTTCCTGGATGTCCTACTTACAAGAAAACTGGATGATGGCATAAAAAGAAATTTGCATAGAAAAAGTACTTGGACAGGACAATATACACATTTTCACAACTTCCTTCCTATCAAGTACAAAAGAAATTTAATGAAGACTCCCAGCCAAAGAGTTAGAGCTATATGCTCAGAAGAAGTAATTGAAGATGAATTAAGCATTGTATATGATACTTTGGTCGAAAATAGCTATCCCGACAAATTTATCAAGAAACACATGACAAAGAAAGCGGAAAACGACTACTCACTGTCTGTTAACAAGAAGCCTTTATATACACGACTACAATTCAAGGGTGATACACCAAGTGAGATAATTGAGGAAATTAGGAAAATCAGTTCAAAGAACTTTTAATGCTGGCAAACTACACGTATTATTCTCTACACGACCGATGGTGCTACCTCGACTGAAAGATGAACTACCTAGACTACCTAGCCACTTCTAATTGTACCTTTCAATTCAACTGCGCTTGTGGAGCGAGTTATATTGGCCGTTGCTCTAGGAACTTGATTTTTCGTGCTCGAGAACATATCCCACTATGGCTAAGTAAAGGTGTAGTTAAAACCACTAACAGTTCAATATTAAGCCATCTGGTGCAAACCGGCCACAAAGCCAACCAGCATGGAAGAATCCTTCTCTATAATCTACTGGGTGCCTAACAAATTGCCAAAATCATCGAAGCACTTCATGCTCCAAACAGCAGAGGCTATTGCAATTCGCCTCAAACAACCAGTGCTTGGTGTACAAAGTTCAGCCCCTATTATTGCCCTGGCCCTCAGTAGAGACTATAAACTCATGAATTTGTACTATTATCTTTCATAATTCTTCTGACATTCAGCTTATTTTATGTTGACGCTATTCAGCTGTAATCTATCAATATTATTGATTTGATGTTATTTAAACATTAATGTCGTTCATAAGACTAATTCATTCATTCACTATAATGTATATATAATTGTAGAGCCTGATGATGAATTTATCGAAAAGAGTACTCTTTGTTCAGTATCCTTTCTTTTGAAAATTTAGAAAAAAAATTATACACTGCGTAATACCTAACAACACAAAGGAAGAAAACGTTAGAAACTTGATGAGGTTAAAATTGTCACTGAGTGGGAAGAAAAGTAGTTAAGTGTCCATTAAACAAGTTTGTAGAGGGTGAGAAAATATACAAAAGAGAACATGTGAGAGTGATAATAGTCAATTAATTATTAAAGTAAAAGCAAAGTAATAATTACAAATAAAAAAATAAAAAAATTACAGAGAACGACTAATGAAGAGGTTAAGACCATGGCAGAGTAAGAGACTGGAAAACCTTTTTATGTATACAGCGTTCAAAATTGTACTGACCAATTGGCAACACCTCTGCCATACACAAAAGCCGAAACCTAACGCCCTTTGTACCATTTGGTCTCACTTTGTAGATAATCTTGGAAAACGAGTCTGTTGGAGCTGTGTGGCTTGCGTTCACCAAGTGTTTGAGGATAGAACTAGTAACTGTCTTGCATTGACCTTTTGCTAATCATGCCGCATAATGTCCAAAGATTCGTTTAGAAAGCGTGCGCTTTGTGAGGCTAATATAACTAGTTCCAACGGAACAGATGAATTTATAAACACATATGAAGTGGCCTAAAGAGGCAGTTTATCCTTCACATATCCACTGATCATTTGTCGGCTGTAAAAGCTGATCTTTAGCTCAGCCGGAAAGAAGACTTTTCTCAGTGATCTGTATAAGCAGTTCTTCAGGATCTCAGCTTCTTTATCACCTTTAAATTCAACGTTCATGAACAGCAGTTTCTTCGGCACCGTCTGGGTTCTTTCAGGTTTTTGCTTTACTTTCATGTTTTCCTCGACGAATCTTGAAGGGATATCCATTTTCAATAAGGACTTGTCTGATTAGCTCCAGTTTACCATTGATTCTATCACTGGTACACATCCTTCTTATTCTTGAGAATAAGGAGTGGATCAGATTTCTTTTTCTTCTCAAAGGGACTCAACTATGAAAATTCATATATTGACAACTTCTTATTGGTTATTCCATTTAAACAGCAAACTGTTTAAGGAAAACAAAATTGTTCTCATTATGACAACACGATGAGGATGAAGATATCGAAACCAGAATCGGAAAGGTAAGACAAAGCATTCATCATTATGAAATCAGTCTAGAAATCTTCTGTACTCCCCAGCATAAACGACAAAACTCGGATTTTCAGCACCAGCGTTAAGTCACTCACTTCGTATATATATACCTGAAGCGTAGAGCATCACGTAAGGCATTTGCAGCAGCCAGTTTCGAACTTTCATCAACAGAGGACTCCAGGAACAAAGCGATCAAGAACCTATTGCTCAACAAAATGGTGAGGAAAATGGAGATGGATAGGACAAATGCTACTGAGGAGAACGTCGAATGGCTACCAGGCCTTCACTCGAGCGCGACCGGAATGGGAAATGACGACTTGGCCTAGTGTCTCGAAGATGACATGGAGGAGATCATTTAGTGAGGAGGAGACCAGAGCCTATCGATAGTTGTGGAGCCAGTTGAAGGGGATCGCAGGCAACACGACAAAGTGGAGATGTGTTGTTGAAGCCCCATGTTCCACTCAGAACCCTAGAAAACAAAAATGTAATGACATACATGAGGTTGTGGGCTATTTTTATAGCTTATACTAATGAAGATGCACTAATCTGTCTGTTGAACATATTTTTTCGTGAAATAAAGGCTAAAAATGAACTCCTATTAAAGATGTATCCAGGTATTGAAGTTATACAAACATTGATAACATATTAGCTGTTTCATTTGAAACTTTTTCGCAATTCTTAATTCCAGTAGTGTCCAGCTCTAAGCCATCCATTCAGCAGTCGATGTTCATTACATCAATCCATTTTACTTGTCCAGTGAATGGAAATAATTTTTAATTGTTGGTTTATGATGGTTAGATTTGTTTTCACGAGTTGACCACGGATTGATATCAGTTAGAGAACCATTGAAAGTCACCACGGAGTACTGGACGGCTGTTTCACCCTAGTTTGGGAATCATGGGCAGTACACACCCACCGCCAGGGTTCGAACTCAGGACCTTCCGGTTCTAACCCTTACGAAACAACCACTGAAAATTATTCTGATGCTCACCAGTGACTTGCTACAGGACAGAGTTTCCTGGAGTTCTAGTGAGAAGTAGTGATCAGTGAGGTCCATCCAGTCAAGTGTGAGGATGGATTTCCCACCGATGACATTGGCTGGTGGTTGCGCAAAAATCACGAATTGGTAGAAGTCAGAATTCATAGACTGGCCAATTAATTGGGTCCCAGTGGTGGCTGAATGGTATACAAGCTTGCCTTGAAACCGGAAGGCCCTAGGTTCGAACCCTTCTTTGGTGAGCGCGTACTGCCGATGATCCCCAAACAAGGCTGCTAAAACAGTTGCCAGTACTTCCAGCTGGTGCTCAATGGGTCTCTAACTGATATCAATCCGTGATCGACTGGTAAGAATAAAAATAAGTAACTGATATTGAAAATGACCAGTGGTCAGTTATTAATATATATAGACTCCTTGTTGTATTTTCCCTAATTTCTACGGCTTTATTTCAATTTAATTTGAAATTCTATAGAAATATAGCGCATGTCTCCTTTATTAATATTTTAGTAGTAAAACCTCTAACTTAATCATTACATATTGAAAAAAGGATGTCCACATTACCTTGTGAATGTATCATAAATAAATATACATATACGTATGGTTAAAACTAATTAAATTTTGTTATCTGAAATTGTATAGAAGCACTTACTCTTGATATCATGAATAACAAACTATTTTTTTTTTCTTTTTGGTTTTAGTTATTTGTTATAAAATATCACTAGCGGACATTTAAAAATCAGTCTGTTTCTGTAAAATACGATAATGGCTTTTGTTTGATTTAAAGCCTCGCAGACTTCAGCATTCCCCTCTAATCAGTTTGATTTAAAACAGGTTCTAAACAAGAGCTTCATGACGGGTTTGATCATGGGCTGATGTCAGTTAGAAAAGTATTTTAAAACCAGCTGAGAGTATAGGACGGCTGTTTCATCCTAGTTTTGAGACTCTTCAACTGTACGCATTAACTGGTATTCGAACCCAGGTAGCTTTGGTTGTAAGGCGAGCTTGTAGACCATTCAGCTACTGCGACTTTATCCAATGGCTTTTCAGCAGGAAGGTTCATATGTCGAACTAGAGTGGATGCGTACTAGGACGAAACAATTGTCCAGTACTCCTAGGTTTTCCAGTGCTTTTCTAACTAATGTCACCCGGTGATCAAAACTGTTACTTATACTGACAGCAATATT